TGATGTCACAGAAGCCAACCCAACCCAAACCCATCAAGCCCCTTCCAACTCGTCGACACCCTAAGACACAGTGGAACTGCTCCTGAGGGTTCGCAGGCTCTTTACAGGAGCAGCGGGCTTCATCCTCCTGTGAAGCGCAGCAGCTGCTGCTTTTGAGCTACTGAGCTTGCAGCCCAATGCCTAGTTAATGTTCTTCAGTGAGGCCCAGAGTGCAAAACTACATCCTCTGGGCAAGTGGGAGAACTAGATACTACATCCTCTGTGCTGGTGGGAGTGGGGTGTGTGTAGAATCTTGGGAGAATCCCTGGGTGGTGCAAACACTCAACACTCCCGGGTGCTGCCTGAAAGCTCAGAGTTGACCAGGTAGCTCCTTAGAAGGCCCGTCTAGTTAGGAAAAATCAGCAACTGAAAATCCCACGAAGCATGCTTCTGACACACATGGGGCTCCATCATTCAAAATCAACTCCACAGCAACTTATAAAATCCTTCCTAAAACCTGTTATGGGTGTAAGGGTTACAGCCGGCTCCTTGTGAAGGATGCAGGGACACAGAATAGGATTCCTAATTGGGTAAAGTGGTCCAGGAGATGCTCTATGCCAACTGGGGGCAGGACCATTGCTGTCTTTTGACAAGCAAATGGAGGTTAAAGGACACAACTATTAAGGAGGCTCATGAGGGCACATGCAAGTCATCTCCTGGGGTCAAGTGTTCACAAAACACTCCCCAAGGCGGTCTGGAGAACAGGTCTGGCCCCACTGTCTGCAGAGCAGAGTTCTGAAGGGCGATGCAAGTGGGGCTCCCCTCCAAGAAGGGAACTCACCTACCCTGGAAAAGCCACACTGCTTCCAGATCGAAAGGGGAGAATAATTAAATCAATGACCTGGCTGAGAAGCCATGAAACACTTGGTAAAGAGGCTGCAGTTTGACTTTAACTTACTCATTATTCCTTTCACATAGTTCCAGATATAAAAATTCTGTTTACGGAATCTGTGAAGACTAGAATACATGTTAAGGACTTACAAGGAAAAAACAAACAGGCGACCACTAAAAAGTCAGTAGCAAAGCAGGCGAATAAGCAAATGTGGTGAAGAAAGCTGATGGTGCCAGGCTATCAAAAGATATAGCATCTGGGGTCTTAAAAGCTTGAAGGTAAACAAGCGGCCATCTAGCTCAGAAGCAACAAAACCCACATGGAACAACATAT